GTACCATCCCGTGGCTCAGACGCAGAGCAACCGCAGGTACAACAGAAGAAAGCCTTGTCTGACCCTGTATCCTCCTCAGAGCCCATCTGCGGGGCAGTGCAATCAGAACCAACTCGACTCTATTCCATTTCTGCTGCTGTCAGTGGAATGGAAGGAGATGGCCCATCTTTCTCCCGTGGAGCTGAAGGCGAATTTGAACCACTAGGGAGGTACGACCTTTGGTTTGCAGTACAGCTTCCTACAGATGGCCCAGAGATCCCTGCTGTCGTCGTCATGTTGCTCTCACTAGTTGAGGGTCTTCCTCATTTTTGCAGATCGTCTTCTTTTCCAAGCCTGCTGTCCTTTTTCTGGAACGTGCCCTGAAACAGGTTCTAGGGAACAGGCTGGCTGCCCTTGCTGTAAACTGAGTGCTATCAGAGAGGCACTCACAGAAGGGCAGCATCTGCCCAGGGTTAAACCACAGAGGGCAAGGAACAGAAAAGGAGGACAGCAGACAGGGAGGAAGTGGGAAATACTGTTACATTGTAGGGGTTGTAATACATGTCACAAAACAAACAAAAAATAGCAATTCTTGACTGGGAAACAATTTTTTTCTATCAACTTCAAATTAAAAAAAAAAAATTACCAAGAAACTTGGTAAACCTCACGATAATCTAATTTGAAACTTTGATGGTGCATGTATTGAGTTAATAAATTATACTTTTATTCTTAAAGTACAAATGCTGTTATATGTTGCTGAGTTGGAACCAATTCATAGCTAAAACCGCTGTGGGTTTCAGGGGCAGTAAATGGCTTGGGAGGACTCTTCATGTTGCCGGCAAGAAACTGCTGATTTGAGCCACTTGCCTGAGTTAGGTCTCCAGCACAGCTGTGGTGTGACAATGAGTCAGAACTGACCCACAGCTGCCCTCTAGTGGGTGTGAAGAGGCAGTTAATCTCATGGGAGATTGCCCATCCTCCCGTGGAGCAGATGGTGGATTCAAGCCCTGTACGTTTGGGGTGCAGGGCAGTTTCTTACAAGACCACCAGCTCTATGGCCACTCTAGATTTTTTTTTAAGTTGGCTCATGGTCTTCGCAATCACTTGTTATGCAAGAGTTGGACAATGACCAAGGAGGATAGAAGGAGAATTGATGCCTTTGAGCTGTGGTGCTGGAGAAGAGTATTGAGAATACCATGGACTGCTAGGAAAACAAACAGATTTGTCCTGGAAAGGGTTAAACCGGGTGGCTCCTTGGAGGCAAGGATTCTGAGGCTCCTTTTAACATACTTTGGACATGGTGTGAGGAGGGAGCGGTCCTTAGAGAGGGACATCATGCTTGGGAGGGTGGAGGGACAGCACAGGAGAGGAAGGCCCTCTATGAGGTGGATTGATTCAGTGACCAGGGTAATCACGATGGGTGTATCAGAGACAGTGCGATTGGCACAGGACAGAGCGGAGTTTAGGGCTGTTGTACATAGGGTCGCTATGAGTCGCAGGCGACTTGATGGCACATAACAACAACAACAACAACAACAATGGAAATTCAGGACAGTGAATAGCTCATAAGAAATCTATACTTTGATCAAGAAGGTGTTGTTTGAACAGAGCAAGAGAACACTGAATAGTTTAAAATCAAGAAGAGTGTGTGTCAGAGATGTATCCTTTCCCCATACCTCTTCAATCTGTATGATTAGCAAATAATTCATGAACCTGAACTATGAACCTGGACTACATTTTCACTCAGTGCCTAGCAGACCTATTTCATACCTCAGAATAGGATACAAGCTGCCATTTAGCATCTACATCAAATATTCCTTACATTTACAAAGATACAGAAAATAGACTTCGAGAACTGACAGATTACAAAACACATGGGAAGTATAAAGAAATACAGAGGGTGGGTGGGGAGAAAAGTGCAAAAATGAATGAATGGAAATCCAAAGGCTGTAAATTTTCATTAAAATTAATAGTAAGAAACAAAGTTGCAAATAAAAAGCATAGAGCTGTGCAGTGAAAATCCTTTGTTCTAAAAAACAACAGAGCCAAGTAGGAATTTAAAAATTTAATTGAAAAGAACATTACATTACATATTTGGGGAAAGCACTAGAGAAAAAAAATTCAAATGTTTACCCAGTAATGAACATAAAGTAGAAATAATGGATATCTTTCAGATTTTTTTTGTTCTAATTTATAGATTATTATTTCACACATAGATAAAAAGGGAAAGACCACAAAAAAAGCCCTCTTGCTGTTACCCACATGAAGTGAGATGTATAAGCCTGCAACCTGAAGGAGTGCAGCAATATTCAGCTAGTGCCATATTACCAAAGCAACTTCAGTGTACCACAGAGAGCTGGACGGTCAGCAAAACCGCAGCTTACTAGACCCTAGAGCTGGAGTGTCTGATTCGGTAGTTCTTACATAGGACTTCAGAATTACAGTGGATTTCTAGAGGACTTTGATGCTTCTGATAGCTACCCTTTGAGAAGCAGTGTTACACACGTCTCATTTACATTAAGAATCTCAGTGCTGGTACCGTCAAAGCAAAGGCAGGGTGTACTGAAAATACCCACTTCCTAAATAACATGCCTCTGGAAACTCTATGGACTTTGATAAGTGTTGGTAGTTGTAGAGGGGCTACAGGCCTTTTGTTCATAGGGTCGCTGTGAGTCGTGCTCAACTCGAAGGCAATCAACAACATTTCAAGCTATTTACTGAAAAGCATTTAAGACTTTAAAAAAAATTGTGAAGATAATCTAAGCTGTAAAAGTGTACCAAGTGTAACAGTTGTTGTTATGTGTCATCTAGTCGCTTGCAACTCATAGGGACCCTGTGCACAACATCCCTAAACTCTGCTCTGTCCTGTGCCAATCGCACCGTCTCCGATACACCCATCCCGATTATCCCAGTCACTGAATCAATCCACTTATAGGGGGCCTTCCCCTCCTGCGCTGTCCCTCCACTCTACCAAGCATGATGTCCCTCTCCAAGGACCTGTCTCTCCTTGCAACATGTCCAAAGTATGTTAGACGGAGCCTCAGAATCCTTGCCTCCAAGGAGCAGCCTGGTTTAACCCTTTCCAGGATGAATCTGTTTGTTTTCCTAGCAGTCCATGGTATTCTCAATACTCTTCTCCAGCACAACAGCACAAAGGCATCAATTCTCCTTCTATCCTCCTTGGTCATTGTCCAACTCTCTGATGCATAACAAGTGATAGTAAAGACTATGGCCTGTATCAGACGCACCTTAGTCTCCAAAGAGACACCATTGGTCTTCAGTACTTTGGAGGTCCCTAACAGCAGACTTTCCCATCGCAATACGTCTTCTAATTTCCTGGCTACTGGTGCTGAGAGTGTTGACTGTGGAGCCAAGCAAACTGAAGCTGTGAACAATCTCAATCTCTTCACCATCCATCCCGATGCTGCCAATTGGTCCAGTGGTGAGAATCTTTGTCTTCTTGACATTGAGCCTCAACCCATATAGAAGGCTGCAGTCCTTGACCCTCTGCAGCAAGCGCTTCAGGTCCTCCTCAGTATCAGCAAGCAGGGTTGTATATACAATAGTTTATAACAGGAGTGGTGACTGGTTAGTTCTTTTTAAGCTGATGGCACAGATGTACAGGTATTCTGGAGTGAGCCCAACAGCCATAGGCAATAGTCTGAATGTCACAGAGATGAAATGTAGAACACTCCAGTGTCACTGTCATGTGGCATCAAGTTGCCTATGACTCATAGTGTCCTATGGACAACAGCTCTGAAGCCTGCCCTGTCCTGAGCCAGTCTCATTGACTCTTGACACACCTACCCCCATTGCCCCAGTTACTGTATCAATCCATCTCATCCTGGATCTTCCTCTCCTGTGCTTTCCCTCCACCATTCCAAGCATGACCAGTCCCTCCTGGCCTCCATAGTCTCTTTAAATGCAGTTTAGTCAAGTTTCTATCTTAACAAGAACAGCCAATTTTTAGATGTCTACGTTGATGAGTCAATCTGATTCCTATGCAGCCCATCATGTGAAATCCACATATATAGTTGTCTTTTGTGTCTTTGAGAAAAAGTATTCGCAATGAATAAATCATTGTAAATACAAAATTCAATCATTCCATGTCCAGCCTCACTATCATCAACAACTTTATTTTCCAACTATTGTTCTTTCTTGTTTCCAACTTTCGCTTTCCAGGCACCAAGTATTATTAATACATCCTGACTGCATGTTTGGTCAATTTCAGACTGCAAAATTTGGTAAAAATTCTCAATTTCTTCCTCTTTGGCACTAGATATAAAGAGCATATACTTGAATAATAGTAGCGTTAAAGGGCCTTCCTTGTATGCATATGGATATTATCCTATCACTCACTACATTGGATTTCAGGATAGAACTTGAAATTGACTTTTTGACAATGACTACGCCACCATTCTTGTGTTTTTCCTTTCCTGCACAGTGTAACATGTGTTTATCTGATTCAAAGCGGCCATAGATATGTCTTGGAGAGGGTGCAGCTGGAGTTCTCTTTGGAGCCTCTTTTGGAGGCTTTGCCTCACATACTTTGGACATACTGCTAGGAGGGGCTATTCCTTGGAGAGGAACATGACGCTGGGAAGGGTGGAGGGTTGGCTAAGGAGAGGAAGAACCTCAACCAGGTGGACTGACAAGTTGACTGCTGCAATGGTCTGTTGTGTGTCAGGAAGTGTGAGGATGGCGCAGAACAGGACTAGGTTCAAACCTTTTACTCACAGGGTTGCTATGAATTGTACTCAACTCAATGGCACCAAACAACAACAACAAAACGGATCATGCCACATCCAGCAATATCTTCATATATGTATTTTTTTTTATTAAAAAAGTCATCAAAGAAAATGCCAAGATTCCTGTTAACACTGTCAAGCTTTGCCGAGTGCCTGCCGTACATTTGGGTATTATTGACAGCACAGAACTTACAATTACCAATAATATAAATAAAAATAAATCGACTAAACTTTATTAAGTTAGTATAAGCCCTATGAGAGTCTGTAACTCAGTCACAGTTGCTGTTCGGGTTTTATCTTTCTATAAGCAATGTATGGAGCGCATGCGATACTAAGTTCCTCTCTCGTACATCCTTTCAGACAACACTTTTCTGAATATCCTCTGCGCTTTCTTTGGGGATGACTCCCCCAAAACGAACTGCTTAAAGCTTTAATTCTGTTTGCATTTTCCTTCTTAAATTTGGCAGTCTCACGAATATAAGGATGGGTGTGTGACGGGTAAAATTTCCTCATCTCCTCACGTAAGGAGTTGACCTTCTGATGCTGATGTTGAGGCAGTGACTGCATCTTCAAACCATGTGTTGCTTCTTCCACAGAGACAGGAGAGGCTGTTGAGAGACAAGGAGAAAAAAATATCTTCCTTTAGTATAATCTTTACATTAAAATTCAATGATACTAGAATATGAAAATCAGTCCAATATTGAAAAGCAATATAAATGCCATTTCAAATAAAAAACAAAAATAAGGTTATTAAATTTTATAATGTCAAAGAAATTAGTTATCTTATTTTAAAATAAGATCTTGGGAACTTTGCACTTATTTGTGTCAATATTTCCCAGTGAGCTAAATCACATGCTGCGACACTCAGCATTTTAAAGTGTGTAGTGGTCTCAAGGTTACACAATCATCATCACTAATTCCAGAACATTCCACATCCCCAAAAGAAACCTGGTACTGTTAGCACTCACTCCTGTTTCCCTCTCCTTTACATTCCACCATTGAAGTTGAAGATTTCCAATTTCACCACATCCTCGACAACACTTATTTTCCATTTTTAAAACGTATTAGTGGTTAGTCAGTCCATCAACTACTAATATTCTTTCCATCTTCAGAGACTTACCCTGGACATTTCATATAAATGGAATCCTATGTCTTTTGTGTCTGGCTTCTTTCACTTACCATGATGTTTTCAAAGTTGAGTTGTGTTTTAATATGTATCAGTATTCCATTCCTTTTTATAATTGAATAATATTCCATTTTATGTATATTCATTTTCTTTCTCTGCCGATTGATAGACATTTTGGTTGTTTACTATTTTGCTATTTTTAAATATTTCCAAGAACATGTGTACAAGTTTTTATGTGACCATATATGTTTAATTTCTTGGGAATAGATGTTGTTATGTGCTGTTGAGTCACCTGAGACCCACAGCGATCCTATGTACAGCAGCTCTGAACCCTACCCTGCCCTGCCCTGAGCCAATCTCACTAATTCTGAGACACCACCTTCCATTGCCCATGTCACTCTATCAGTCCATCTCATCCGGGGTCTTCCACTCCTGTGCTGTCTCTCTACCCTTCCAAGTATGTATATAATTACTATTATTCTCTATAGAAGTAGGACTACCAGGTCTTATGTAATTTTATGTTTAGCTTTCTGAGAAGCCACCAAACTTTTTTCTCAGTGACTGCACAATTTTACATTTCACCACATCCCTGACAACACTTACTTTCCATTTAAAAAATATAGTTGTATTAGTGGTTCCGATGCACTGGTCATCTTATCACTGTAAGGAATTGCACTGCCCACCCAAAAGCATGTGGTTCAAATCCACCCACTGCTCTGCAGGAGAAAGATGGGCAGTCTCCTCCCAGGTGATTCACTACCTCTGGAGGGTCAGCTATGAGTTGGCTGTGATGTGAGAGTACATAACAATACAACAACAACAACGGCTTTGAGGTAACTTGGGAAGACAAAGCAAACTACTGTAAAAGAATGTGCACAGGCCTAGAACTGGAGAATAAAAAGCGCAGAACTTGTTCAGCATCCCTCAAGCTGAAAGAACTGAAAGACAAAATCATACTTCAAGCTGCAGTCCTGGAGATGCAACGGGGAAAGTTCTGAACAACCCAGGAAGCTTCAAATGAAGATGCAGAGAATACCCAGAATCACAAAAAGAACTGGTTAACACAGAAAAATTCTGGAAGAATCAGATGACTGAGAGCCGGTGATAATGAGGAAGTTCAAGCTGCACTGAAAGCACTGGTTGAAAAAAGAAAAAAAAAAGGCCCCCAGGAATTGATGTGATTCTAACTGACATTTTTCAAATGACAGACACAGCCGTCATCAGTTACTGCTAGGGAATTTGAAGGGCAGCTGCCTGGCCGTGACTGGAAGTGATTCATGTTTGTTCCCATTCCCCAGAAATGGTGATCCAACAGAATGTGGAAATTATAATTAATACCACATGCAAGCAAAATCCCGCTGCGGATCATCAGAAAATGGCTGGAACAGTACTTACGATTGTCCTGAACTGCCAGAAGTTCAAGTGCGATTTAGAACAAGCTGTGGCACGATGGATGTCATTGCTGACGTCATATGACTGCTAAGAAAACAAAGGTTCATCCTGGAGAGGGTTAAACCAGACGGCTCCTTGGAGGCAAGGATTCTGAGGCTTCGTCTGCCATTCTTTGGACATGTTGTAAGGAGGGACCGGTCCTTGGAGAGGGACATCATGCTTGGGAGGGTGGAGGGACAACGCAGGAGAGGAAGATCCTCTAGGAGGTGGATTGATTCAGTGACTGGCGTAATCGGGTCGGGATGGGTGTGTCGGAGACAGTGCGATTGGCACAGGACAGAGCAGAGTTTAGGGCTGTTGTACATAGGGTCGCTATGAGTCACAAGCAACTTGACGGCACATAACAACTATATATAGATATAGAGATAGATACACACACACACACACACACACACACACACACATATTTGGTAATTCTCATTACTTTGAAAAAGTAGCATGTATAATCAGTGTCCCATGTGCTAATTTGGTATCTTACACACTCTTCCTCCCTCCTTTCTGTGGTTCTCATTTCCATTTATCCTTCTATCCTATTCCTTCCTGCCTTGTGAACTTGGTATCATTTTAAAAATGGCAAATGCTGTTTTAAATGCTTTTGGTTGATTCTTCTAGGAATGAGTGCCACCTGTGGGTTCCTGTTGGTCTTCCATGCTTGTCTACGGTTTAACGGAAAGGTGAGTCACTGGAGTGAGTTTTGGTCCAGGTTTGAAGGTTGACTAAGGGTCATAATCTCAGGGGTTCTACCAAGCTCTAGCAGGGCAGTGAATTTGATCATTTTTAGGTTCTTGAGTTTTGTAAATATTTTCTATTCCCTCCATGCAGGACCTTTTACTATGATCTCTTTTAGTGTGGTCAGTAGTGGTAGCTATACCCCATCTGGTTCTTCTGGTCTCAAGGTCATAGAGGATGAGATCCATGTGGCCCATCAGTCCTTTAGACTAATTGTTTCTACGCATCCTGGCACTTTCTTTGTTCCAGACAAGGAGAGATCAATAGGTGCACCCTATCAAATAAATGACAAGGCAATACTTTCAGTAACATTGTATTATTTTCTTTTAAATTGGCAAACCACATTGGGAATAAAATGTGCTGGTTACAAAATGACAAACCCCGGTGGTGTAGCCCATAGCATGCCCCACTGCTAACCAGAAAGTCCTCACATCTCCAGTAGTTCAAATCCACCCCTCTCTCCATGGAAGGACTGGCAGTCTCCTCTTGTTTAGATTTACAGCCTCAGAAACCCAATGAGGGTCACTATGAATCAGAATCGACTCAGTGGCAGTGCATGTCACAAAAGTGAACAACACAGTTGGAAAAGTGTGGGTTTTCATTGGCGGGCCCAGTTAGCCCAAAAGCCACACTGCCCTAGTGGTCTGAATTCACTAGTCACTCTGAGGGAGAAGGGTGGGCAATCGTCTCCTGTGTGATTGTTTCAGAAACCTGCTAGAGGGTAAGCTCAGTTGGTTTGGACTTGACAATGAGTTTGAGTTTTAAGTTTTCAAAAATAGATCACTGGATCTCTCTCTCTTCCTGGTCCATCTTAGTTTCAAAACTCTTTTGACATTATAGCAACATACAAGCTCCAGTGACCATCCTTCTACTGCACAAGAGGTACATGGCCTGGAAGAGTCCCTGGATCGTCCATGTCAAAGTTCTACCACTAAACCACCCCTGACCCCACAAGCATAAACTCCACACATATTAGAACCTGAGCAAGAGAGGAAGACTCAGTGACTGGGATAATGGGGTCAGTGCGTCAGAGACAGTGAAACTGGCTCGCAATAGAGGAGGGTTTGCAAATGACAGCACATAACAACGTGTACTAGCAAACTGGCTGTCAACGACCTCTTTGAAGTGCTCAAGAACAAAGATGTCAGTTTAAAGATGAAGGTGAACATGAGCCAACCAAAGGCATTTAAAATTACTCCATATACATGTGAAAACAGAACAATGAGTAAGAAGACTAAAGAATTGATGCCCTTGAATTGTACTGGAGAGGAATATTTAATATACCAGGGACTGCCAAAAGAACAAACAACTTTTTCCTGTAGGAAGTGCAACCAGGGTGGTCCTTAGAGGAAAGGATGGGGAAACTTCATCTCACTCCTTTTCAGTACATCTTAAGCAGGGGCAGTCCCTGGAGGGAAAAAAGGCATCACGCTGGGAAAGAAGTAGATCAGCAAAAGTGGTTAGGATCCTCAGGAAATGGACTGACCAGCGACTGCAACGATGGCGTGGGCCATGGCAGAGATCATGACAAGGGGCAAGGATAGAGCAAATCTGAAATCTGCTGTCCAGAGGGTCACTAAGTCGTAGTTAACTGGATGGCACCTAATTATAAGAACAACAACAATATATGTTGGTTTTTGTTTTGCTTTTAAAATTGTGCTCTGGGCACAAGTCTGGCTTTCATGGGAAGGCCACATCCAGGGCAAATTTGAGGATGAGAGGTATACGCTGATTGGGTTTACATTTTACCTGGAGGCAGCAATGGGGAACGTGGGATCCCGGTGGGGAAGAGGACTCCCGCGGCCTCCACGGCGCGGGGCACCAGCTGCCAGTGAAGGGGTGGCCCCTCGAACAGGCTCCAGTCTTCGAGGCCACAGAGTTTCACTATTTCTTTCAGCAGGTGCCTGCCACATAGCTTCTTGCTCTGGATGGGGCTGCCCAGCTCGAGATTGAAGAGAATCAGTAGGAGCCCGAGCTGCAGGTGACACAGGCAGAAGGGCCGCATCCCCAGGGTCCCGGGGGGCTTGCAGCTAGCCGTCCGTCAACGGTCGGCCAGCTCTGCGCCTGCGCCCCTCGTGGTCTCGGGCACACCTGCCAGGCTTCCGAGCGCGTGGGTCTCGCGAGAACACAGAGCGGGCAAGAGGCACCTCCCCGCACGTGTGCGGCGCGTGAAGCTCCAGACACTGCGTTCCCGTCCAGGGCACCAGAGGGCGCCTGGGTCTCGCGAGAACACAGATGGAAAGTGCAGGACGAGAGCAGCTCCCAGCACGTGCGCGGCACAAGAGGTCCCCAGAGGGCGCGCCTCCGCGAGGACCCACCGTGAGCGCCCGAAGGCGGCGCCTGAGTGCGCATGCGCGAGCCCCTGAGCCCGGGGTGCGGGGACCTGCGGCTCCGCCAGGTACCAGCTACAGCAGGTGCGAGTGCGCCACCTGAGGCCAGGCGCCTCCTCCCACAGGTTAAAATGGAAGCCCGAGATACTTTCATTTTCCTGGTTCCCCCCTGGGGGGATTGACCAGCCCTGGAAGTCGGTCACCAGTTGTTGAGTGCCCTTGGGTGGGAACTGACCCTTCAGCGCGTTTTCAGGGGCCGGCAATGGCCGGCCCGGGGAGCTTTCCAGCTCGCTCAGCTCCTCGTTGCCCTCACGGCGCTCCCTTCACGGGCGCTGGTGCAGCAGCGGGGGCTCCCTCCCGGGATGGCGGCTCCGCGACCCCGCTGCACCCCGAGACCCGAGACCCGTGTCCCTTGGTCCCATGTCCCTTCCCTCGTCCCCGTCCCCCAGTCCCTTGTCCTTGTCCCTCATCTCGTGTCCTCTGGGCTTGTGTCCTCTTCCCGTGTCCCTGACCCTCATCCCCCTGGTCCTGTGTCCCCCAATCCCGTGTCCTCCCGTCCCGTGTCCTCTGGGTTCTTGTCCCCGTCCCTTGTCCCCCTGTCTCGTGTCCTCATCCCGTGTCCCATTGTCCCGTGTCCCTTGTGCCCCTGATCCCGTGTCCCCCGATCCCGTGTCCCCCGATCCCATGTCCTCCGATCCCGTGTCCTCCCGTCTCGTGTCCTCATCCCTTGTCCCCCTGTCTCGTGTCCCCTGATCCCGTGTCCCCTCGTCCCGGTTCCATCCCGACCTGGTCCCATCTAGTGTGCAGTTCCCAGTCGGTGCAGAGCACCTGCACCCCTGCAAGCTCCACCCACAGGTTGGGGGTGCGGGACAGCGTCCCGAAGAGCGAAGAGTTCGGGGCACAGTGTCAGGGGCCTCGGATGGAGACCCACGGGTGGTTCCTCTGGCGGTTCGAATCCAGTCTCCTCCAGTGCGATTTGCAGCCTCTGGAAAGCTGCTGGAGGGCCCGCCGTGGGTGGGTTCCGATTGGACCCCAGTGACTTTCCAGGCCGGGGCCTAGTCAGGTCGCTGCCTGTTGCCATCGTGAGACTAGCTGGGGACAGGGTCTGGGGGTTGCCTTCTCGTTGCCACCACACCTGGCAGTTTGAGAGGGGATTGTTGGCAGCAGTTGTAGCTTGGTCAGTTTTAGTTGCCTCATCTGAATGTGAAAATTGGACAGTAAATAAGAAAGACTAAAGAATTGATGTCTGTGAATTGTGGTGTTGCTGAAGAGTATTGGACAACCCACAGACTGCCTAAAGCACAAACCATGGTGTTTCAGAGGGCGTGCAAACGGTGCTCCTTCCAGGCATGGATGGTCTGACTTCATCGCACATACTTCGGGCATGTTGTCAGGAGAGGCCAGTCCTTGGGAAAAGCATGGGCTCATGGAGAAGAGAGGAAATTGCTCAAGGAGATGGACTTGCACCTGGTGGAGTATGTGGCCTGTCCTGTGCATGATAGGATGCTTCAGTCTGTTGGTCATACAATCTCTGTGAGTCATAATTGACTCAGTGGCACCTAGCAACAACAACAACAGTTGCTTTATAATTGCAAGTGGGAAAAAAATGTATGTGTTTTTAATATATGTATCTCCGGTGGTTTAGTGGTAAGAAGCTGCACTGCAATCCTGAAGGCACGCAGTTCGAGGCCACCAGCTGCTCTGTGGGAGAAGGATGTGCAGTCTCCTCCCCTGTGATTACCTGCCTCTGAAAACCCACTGGAGGGTCAGCTATGGGTCGGTTCCAGGTCTGTAGTATACAACAACCACAACATCTGTACAGTTACATACTTCACTCACGGAGAAGATCATGAGGGGTGGAGAGGAGAAAGAAATTGTTAAGAGTTTCATCTTGCTTGGATCTATAATTAACATCCTTGGTACCAGCAGTCAGGAAATAAGGAAACATGTTGCACTGGGAAAATCTGCATTTAGGGACCCCTCCAAATTATTGAGGATTAATGGTGTCAGTTTGAGGAGTAAAGGGTGTCTGATTCAGGCCATACTTTTTCCAGTCACTTGCTATGTATTTAGGAGCTGGACAGTAAAAAAAGGATGACAAGAGAAGAATTGACACCTTTGAGCTGTGGTATTGGAGAAGAGAACTAAACATCTCATGGACAGCCAAAAGAACACACACATTTGTTTTGGAGAGGGTGCAGATGGAATGCTCTTTGGAGGCAAGAATTATGAAGCTTCACTTCACATACTTTGGACTTGTTGCTAGGGACGTGATGCTGGGGAAAGTGGAGGGTCAGTGAAAGAGAGGAAGGCACTTAACTAGGTGGATTGACACAGTGACTGCCTCATTGGGCTGTTGTGTGTCAGGAAGTGTGATGATGGCTCAGGATATGACAGGGTTCAGATCTTTTGTTCATAGGGCCTCTATGAGTCATACTCAATGGTACCTAACAACAAAAACAAGACCCAAAAATCTTTTCCAATTTACTGTGGTGATTGTTACGTTTCATCAAATCAGAACCAGAACATACTCATAGCTGACTCTGCAGGGAGTTTTTAAAGGGAGTAAATCTCACGGGAGGAGAGTGCTCATGTTCTTTCCACGGAGCAGTTTGTAGGTAAGAACTGCCTGCCTTTGTGTTGGATGTGCAACTTCTTACCTAATAGGTCACTAGAGTGCCTTTGACAGTTTTTTAGGAAGATTTCATTTTGACTTTTATGTACATTTGTTCTAAAGAAATATTGTGGTGGTTGTTATGTGCTGTCGAGTCATCTGTGACTCATAGTGACCCTATGTACAGCAGCCCTAAATCCTGCTCTGTTCTGTACCAATTTCACTGTCTCTGACACACCTACCCTGATTACCCTAATCACTGAATCAATCCATCTCATAGAGAGTCTTCCCCTCCTGAGCTGTCCCTCCACCCTCCCAAGCATGACGTTCTCTCCAAGGACTGGTCGGTCCCTCCTTGCAGCATGTCCAAAGTATGTCAGACGAAGCCTCAGAAGGCTTGCTTCCAAGGAGCAGCCTGGTTTAACTTTTTCCAGGATTAACCTGTTTGTTTTCTTAGCAGCCCATGGTATATTCAATACTCTTCAACACCACAGCTCAAAGGCATCAATTCTCCTTCTATCCTCTCTAGTCATTGTCCAACTCTCTGACACATAGCAAGTGATTACAAAGACTTTGGCCTGTAACAGTCACACCCTAGTCTCCAGAATGACATCGTTACTCTTCAGTACTTTGGAGAGGTCCCTAACAGAGACTTTCTCATTGCAATATGTCTTTTAATTTCCTGGCTGCTGGTGCGAAGAGTGTGGAGCCAAGCAAACTAAAGCTATTAACAATCTCAGTCTCTTCACCATCTATCATGATGCTGTTGATAGGCCCAGTGGTGGCATTATTCTGGTTCATTGCATTGATCCATTGCACCTGGTGTTAGACTTAGCACAAATTATGTGAGTTTAGTGGTAAATATTTATTATCATTTTGTCAATAAGAATTAAAGATCAAAAATTGCATTTACTCCATTAGTGAAAAAAGAATGACTTTTTAGCATTAAAAGATTGATTAACAAAGATTTCAATACTCTACTAATGTTTTGTTATACATTAAGTCAGAAAATCAAAGCACTAGTAATGAATTCTCATATTTTAGTGAGAGAGTACATCTGTGAATATTTTATCAAGAAGACATGTAACCATAGACAGCTTCTCCTAACATGCTGCTTTTAATTCTTTTATGCGACACCCTTGTTTACAACACTTGACAACCAGACCTTCTTGCCTTGTCTTTGGTCGGGAAAGTTTTTCTAAGCCAAAACCTTTTAATTTTGAAAGGCTGTCATCTCCTGCTCCATTTGCTCTGTTCTTCATCACTTCTGTAGGTTCTTCATTTGCCATCCCTTCCTTTAGAAAATTAGGAGTGACTTCTGGTATCTTATTTAACATTTCTGTGTCATGGTTGATGTAGGATGATACATTATCTGTTGAGTTTTTAAAAATATGAGAAGAGAAATAATCATATCAAGTAGCATCAGAAAAATGAGAGAATTTTCCATGAACAATAGGAAACCTTTCCTCGATTGGGCCCTAAACATCAGCAAGTGTCCTAATACCCACACATTGTCATTTGAGTTTTACAGATCAAAGCACTGTAACATTGCCAAAGCATTACTTTATACTGTTGTAGCAGCTTACATGCTAAGCCTTAGAGAAACCATAATATATCTTAGCATTAGAGAAGTCATTTTGTTCTGACAGACATTTTAAGAAATGTATGTCTCAATAAGTTTAGAAATAATATCTTTTACTGAGTGTTTTATGTTTTTAAACAAGCTGACCCAGCTTGGTTTCCACTCCCTGACTTCATTCTGTATCTGACCCAGGTCCTGAATACTCATGAGAAGTCAGAAACAATAACAACTCCTAAATGGGAAGAAATCTAAGCTGCCAACCACAGTGAAGTTTGTGTAACCCCCATGCCCAATCTCTGGATATAAAACCAATCTGTGCTTCTTCTCAGAGTTGGAACGGTTTAAGCATTAGGTGATTTTTTTTTTTACTCCTACATTTAAATAAACTATGTTGACCCCTAAACTTTCGCTGATTATTTAGGATCTTGCATTTTCTGCCTTAACAATACCGTCTACCACTTCGTGGTCTCTTCCTGTCACTCCCCTAAACACTTTTCATGTTTTCCCTGTTGGTTTCTTGACACTAAGCACTATTGTTTTTTAAATTGTAGAAGGTGGTCATAGAAAGCTCTATGAACATATATTTTTCTCACTAGAAATTTTCATCCAGCGATGGGTTATGGGAATAATGCTTCCAAAGTACATAAATTGTTTTAGGCTATCAGCAGCTCCCTGGAGCCAGGTTACTGCTGAGCATACTTTAAAAGACACAGTGTCCAGCTGCTCTGATTTACTAGATCTCAGATCCAAGATCTCAAACATGCATTTAACAGTCTCTGGTTTTCCCAGTATTCAAGTCAGTCATGCTTGACACTAAAGAGAAAATTGCAGTTAACAGAACAATTTAAATGCTCTCATTTTTTCATTTATTATTATTATTGATTTTAATGAAAATTTACAGAGACTGGATTTCCAAACAGTTTGCAAAACATTGAAAGCAGCAAAGGATCTAGTAATGAATGAGTGAGGAATCTAAATTTCTGAAGAAACCGAATTTTCTGGAATCTGATCCCTTGGGTTTCTCCTGTAGGCTCCTGAGCCTTTTATTCCCTTTTCATACCCTGTGGTCCAACGACACTTCAAGAACCAGCTCACAGAAGTGGAAAGAAAGCAAGGCTTTCTTCTTAGATTTAGGTTAAAGAAGGGGGAAGGTTTGATGATGTAGGCCATAGCATAGCTTCTCTAATATGAGGAGAGTAGCAGTTATCTGTAGTTCTGAGTGCTGACCACATGCGCTTTGGCATCCACATGTGCTTGTTGACCAGCTGATTGCTGTGTCCTTTCTTTATAACATGATGCATGGTGCCCAGTCCCTCTGCCCCTGTGTGCAGAAACAGCATGCTGACAACTGCTGCTTTCCCTCTAAGTTTCATTAGTGCTGAAACCACCTAATCCTATCCTGTGAGGCTTTCCTGTCCTCTGGAGATCATTCATGACGAGCTACAGAATCTAAGCCCACACATTGAGGCACCAGCACAGTGGAGTTCAGGGGTTGAGCACAGATAGACATGAGCCCTGGAGCTGGGGAAATAAATGACTCTCACCTTCAGCCACGATGGACTTCGGTGATGGCAGAGTTCCACTGAAACCTCTCCTCCAGCTCACTTCTCCACAGAGTTGAATCAGGAAGTGTATTAATTCACGGCCACATAGCTTCACTCTGTCTGTGTCCTTGAGTGAGCGAGCTCTGGGGAGCTGGTCGAGCAGCAGCCATATGCCCAGCAGGTGAGACAAGAGAAAACTGGGCATCCTGGCTCTGCTTTCCAGCCTTTCTCTAGGAAAATCTATCCGCGATGCAGGCTTTTATAGCCGTTGGGCTCCCTTTCAGACCTTGAATCTAAACCTCCAGCCCCTCCCTTTCCCATAGCCTCCAGGGAATTGCTCCTCAGCTCCAGTCCACATTCATCTTCTTCCTGTTGGCCCATCTCTGCTGCATTTGACTGTTTCCTTTTATTAACTTAAGCTTTTTTTTATTTTAAAATTCTGTCAGTCATTATTTAAAGCCTTACCTTTTGTATTTAATATTTTATTTTAATTTTTATTATTGTTGAAGATAGACACAGCAGAACATACACAGTCATTTTCTTTGTGTACAGTTCAGTGACCTTGATTAGATTCTTGATTTATTTAATTTTACCCTCCCCTTTGAAACCTGATTTTTATTAGAAATGTGGAATCTGAAAATCAAATGGAGACACTTAGGCAAGCCTCCATAATCTGGTCAGTTCTCATCTCACATTGCAGATGTCTTAGATAATCAATAACCTAATTCTTCAGCATTTTTGTTTTTTTCATTTATCAGTCTATTCTATATCTTGAGAGAAGGATGGACAGTCTTCTCCAGTGCAGTTAACTGCCTCTGAAAATCTGGTCAGCTATGGGTCTGTTCCGACTCAATGTTATATGATGACAACAGTAATTCTATAGCTAGCTAGTTAGCTCTGTAACAATCTGCAGTTTTATCTTGAGAATTTGAAAGTATTTACATTGAAATACTTTTCATTGCATAAAAACTAGACATTTTAAAAGAATTCATTGTTTGAGTGTATGGTAGGTGGTTTACTATATATGATCTTTACTACAATCATTAAGTCACAGAAAGCAAATGTAGGTTCTGATTCCTGGAGCTGTCTCCTGGGATTATGAGGAGATGGGAAATAGGAGTCTGAGAGCTACCCTCTGTATCTTGGGCTTCCTCTTGGTCTTGTTAGGATTATGTTTATTGGGTATTGTCCTTTTTCTCCAGGGTTGGGTGGTGTCTGAGTTGTTTCCCCGTTTCATACAGAACCTCAATGACTTCTGAGGTTCTGTACCCCAATATTAAAGCTCCCCCAAGATGTCTCTGTTGTAGACTTGAGCTACCTCAGAGATTTCGCTATGATTAACCATGGATGGAGATTTGGAATATGGGATTTGCTGCCTCCATCCTTCCTAGTTGTGTGTAAGGATGTTTGCTGTAAAAGAGCAAGCCTTGATGTAATTGCATTCTTTCTATAAATACTGGCTGAAATTTTACTAGAATGTAAGGTGAAAGAAGTGACAAAAACTCTGATAACCATATTACTGTTCTAAAATTGTTCTTGCTATTTTGCTCTTAGCTATTTTACTTAAAAAATAAGTTTGTGGTACGCGGTTCAAATCCACCAGATGCTATGCTGGAGAAGGAGGGGGCAATCTCCTCCTGTTATAGTCAGATCTGATTTGACGGTACACGTAAAAATAATACAAGAAAAATGTAAAAAAAAGTTTGTAATTTGAAAATACTGGGTGGGCATGTGATTGTATTTTAAAACTAACCTAATTCTTTTCTGTTATATGATGACATTGTGATTTTTATTATTTTCTCTTCATGTCAGGTTTTTTTTCCTATGAAAAGAAATTTATATTAATCTGAAATCTCTTTGAGAATGAAAGATTTGAGAAACTTGAATAGTATAAAAGGTACCAGAGTTTGATGGCCTCAAATTAAATTGATTTAGTGTCCAGTCTCATTTTAGGCTTTTTATTAGACCCTAAGGTCCAAAGCCATTTTCATATAAGTTTAAAAAGTCCAGTTTTTGAACTTTATGTATGCTTGTTCTAACAATATCCATGAACATACTCTGGTGCATTGTAATAGTCCACACTTCCAAGTGTTAGACATTACATAAATTGTCTTTTTATGTTGCTAAAGGCACTTTACCAGAAAGAGTTGGCTGACCCAGAAGAATTTCATGAAACAACATGTGATCAAGAGCTTATGGCGATGGTGATTAACGCGGCTATGAACATTGCTGTACAAATCTCCATTTGTGTCACAGTTCTAATTTCCTCGGGGTATATTATATTTCTTGTAATGGAATTGATGGGTCATGTGGAGTTTGTATGTTCAACTTTTTGAGGAAACGCCAAACTGTCTTCTAGAGTGGTTGCACCGTTTTACAAACCAACCAACAGTATATAAGAGTTCTCCCCTCTCCACATCCTCTTCAACATTTATTGCTTGCTACCCTACTAAATTTTGCAATTGGTACTAGGTTGAGATGGTATCTCATGGTTTTATTTGCATTTCTCTTATTGCCAGTGATTTTAAGCATTTCTTTATGTGTCTATTTGCCACCTGAATGTCTTCCTCTTTAGAAAGTCTTTCTGTGTCCTTTGTTCACCGTCACAGGAACATGGAAACAGCCCAAATGTCCAACCATAATCAAATGGATTGACAAACTGTGGTACATTCATGCATGTGAATTGGATTGACAAAATGTGGTACATTCATAGTGGAATACTATGCAGCACCTAGAAGCAGTAATTTAGAAAAATACTGTGTAACTTGGAAAAGGCTGGAGAGTATTAACGCTGATTGAACTAATGCAGTCTCATAAGGACAAATACTGCATAAGACCATTATTGTAAAAATAGATAACTAGTAAAATATGTATGGGAACTCAAGAGGAAGAGGGCTGAGAATGGGAGGGGTGAAACCACAGGGTTGCATAGTTTAGTGGAGAGGGAGGGAGAGGGAAAAGGAAATGGGAAGAATCTGGGTGAAAATACAGGATAATGATGGGCAAGGTCCAATGGTGATTGATTTTGTAAAATATAATACATGAGAATGATTATATGAAACACAGTGTATATGAACTTTGTACGTATACCAATTTTAAAAAACCAAGCCTATGTTGAAAAGTCGATTAGGCCCTCGGGCCTGCGGCTTTTGGGCCTGGTTTTTATTGTGTTTAGAATGAACATTCTTCTAAGTAGTACAACATTGGTCTGTCAGTTTGCTCTACTGAGGTAACATGAGGTTGCTGTGTTACTGAACACTGTGCCACTAGTTTGTCAAATGCTGTAATGGTCACCCATGGTATTTGGTGAAGCTCCCAGACTGGAGGATATCTGCGTTTATTCCCATTCCAGAAAAAGGTGATCCAACAGAGAGTGGAAATAATAAAATATATCACTAATATTACACGCAAGATCCTGCTGAAGATTATTCAGAAACAACTGGAATAGTACATCAGCAGAGAACTACCGGGTGTGCAGGCTGAGTTTAAAAGAGGCCATGGCACTAGGGACATTATAATCAACATTAGATGAATCTTGAAAGCAGTACCAGAGGAATGTTTTATCTATGTTTCATTGACTGTGCAAAGACATTTGACTCTGTGGATCACAACAAATTGTGGCTAACCTTGAGAAATACGGGGATTCCAAAACACTTGATTGTATACATGCGAGACCTAAATGTGCACCTGGAAGCAGTAGCCAGAACGGAGCAAGAAAACACTGCATGATTCAAAATCGGGAAAGATGTATTCCTGGGATGCATCCTATCTCCATACCTTTCAATCTATATCCAGAATAGATCATTCAGGAAGCTGGACTTTATGAGGAGGAATGTGGCATCAGAATTGGAGGAAGACTCACCAACAACCTGCATTATGCAGATGACACAGCCTTGCTTGCTGAAACTGAAGAGAGCATGAGACATTTGCTGCAGAAGGTTAAGGACTGTAGTTGTCAATATGGACTGAAGCTCAGTATAGATTTTGTCCTTTCTTTAAAATATGTTGTCTGGTGCTAGTCCCTCTGCCCTCGTGTGCGGCAGCAGCACTCTGACAACTGCTGCTTTCCCTCTTGGCTGCCTAGTGATGAAACCATCTAATCCTATCCAGTGAGACCTTCCTGCTCTCTGGTGAAGTTCCTTGGAGATCATCCATGACTGAGAGCTACAGAATCTAAATCCAAATACTTAGGCACCAGCAAAATCGGGTCTAGGGGTTGAGCACATGTCTATACGTGAGCCCTGGAGCTGGGGAAATGACTCTCACCTTCAGCCAGGATGGACTTCAGTGATGGCAGAATTCCACTGAAACCTCTCCTCCAGCTCACTTCTCCACAGAGTCCAATTCTGTAGCATATTGATTCATGGCCACATAGCTTCGATGTGTCTGTGTCCTTGAGTGAGCGAGCTTTGGGGAGCTGGTCCAGCAGCAGCCATATGCCCAGCAGGTGAGACAAGAGAAAACTGGGCATCCTGGCTCTGCTTTCCAGCCTTTCTGTAGGAAAATCTATCCATGCTGTAGACTGCTTCCCCTGCCTGGCTCCACCAGCCTTTTATAGGCCGCTAGACTCCCACTCAGACCTTGAGTCTGAAGCATCAGCCCCTCTCTCTCCCATAGCCTCCAGGGAATTGTCCTTCAGCTCCTGTTCACCTCCACTTTCCTCCTAATGGCCCATCTCTTCTGCATTTGGTCTTTACCTCTTTTCTTGTCGTAAACCATTTTTTTTTACTTTTCTAAAAGTAAAATTTTATACTGGTAAACTTTTTATGTTCAAATTCTCTTAGTCATCATTTGATTTAAATTCTTTAAACTTTTGGTCATATTTTGTTTTACTGTTTGTTGGTGTTGAAAGTATACGCAACAGAACACACAGTACAATTTTCTTCCTATCCATTTTGGTGACATCAGTCGCATTCTATAGATGTGTAAATAATCTCACCATTTTTTTGAAGCCTTGTCTTAATTAAAAAATTAGAATCAGAAAGCACAATGTCAAACCCATTCACTATGACCAGTGCTTTGGTTCACATATTAATGTTTCAAAAAGGAAGTGTCCTGTACTTTAGATGTACTAAATAGTTTGTTTCTTTGGACAACTGTGTAATCAACATCCACTATCTTTAACCTCCACACTTAGGTATTTGCAGGCTTATATTAGCAGGCATAACTCTCTCGAGACCTGTGTCACCAACGAACAGCACTGCA